AGTTACTAATTAATTTTCCTCTGATAAATGCTGTGCACTTTCAATGAATGAGCAGCTTTAGTCTGAAAGCTGATATAACTTATTCTCGTTATTGAATCTGCTTCGTCTGAAAAAAAACACTGCAATTGAATGTCAAGTCGATTCGTTCGCAAGTGGAAATTAATCACAGGAGGACTACTTTGAAGCTTGATCTGTTAACAACTTACGGTGTATCGCTAAACAGAATGTTATTATTGATCGATTTATTTACAGCTATCGTACACTGGGATATTTTGTTTTACTGGAGCTTCTAGAGGTACCTCTAAAGTTAGCGCACCATGGTGGATTTTAGCTTGGTTTTATTCTAACGTGCGGCAGTTATCTAAACAATAACAGTATTTCGGCCATGATGGTTTCTGACCTTCTGATCTGATGACGAACTGAACAAGGAATACAAATTGAGGAGAAAATTTAAAATGTGAATAGGCGATTTCGTCATTGATTCATTGCACAGCGGCACGGTGCGTGCGAGAGCTTGTGCGACTCTGTGAAGGCAAATAAAGGCACCGAAATTTGCGTTTTCAGAGTCATACTAGATTGGCTGAGGAGCACAGATCAGATGGAGTGCAGCTCACCCATGACTGTTAAATGATCAGGTTTCAAATAGGCGTTGCACGGGTAGCCGCAAAGAAGTTACGTTACGGCTTTGATCTTTACGTTACGACTGGATAAAGCTTTAATGCAATAAACATTGGCCTATCTTCTTGTAATAGCTGCATCATGATTTCTACATTTCTGGATTTATTGTTCTTCTTCACTGCAAGTCATACACTACAACCAGAAGGCCAATGCTGAAGCGGTCATTATTTGGGTAAACAAGTTGACCTTCCTACCGTGCTTCCTCAGAGGATGACCAGCGCTCCTTTGGCTAAAACGCTACAGGAAAATACAAACATTAAAATCGATGTTTTAGTTGTGTCGATAACTATCGAATCACTTCCATTTATGTTGATTCCATTTTTGGTAAGAAATTTTTTTTCTGCACTTACGCATACTTCTACTCACACTATGCCCATTCATCTATTGCAGTTTTTTATCCGTTGTCCGTTCATTTGCTTTCCAGAGGCTGTCTCATATGGCAACTGCATCCTCGCAATTGCGTCTTTTATCTGGGAACAACCATCCGTTCCACAAAGCACCTTTGTTGCGGACCAAACTCCAGTAAGGCACTGCTATCACAATGGTGACTAGCAAAGCACGTTCTTCCGATAAGCATAATCCTCACCTTGCGGCGGTGGCTGTTTGCAGAACAGACTACGCACTCGCTTGACTTCTTATATTTGCTTAACACCTGCGCCGAGCCTCGCGTCACTGACAACGTTGCAAACTCTGCACTGAACGACTAACGAGAGCATGTCATTCGTGTGTCTTGTTTCTTACTTGCTGCTAAACAGTGTCGGACATACGCTGAGCACCGTCATTCGGGTAATCATCGGAAATCGTTTAAAGAAATAATGTTTTTGCATTAATAAATGGCAGTGACATTTGCTGTCGAGGGCGTTAATTAATTCGTTAATTAATTACTGACTGTCCTGTCATAATTTGTCACCTATCGGCTAGAGAGACAGAGTATTGAACTGTCATTTGACCCTCACCGATGTATCGATTAGGAAAGTTAAGACACTGTTATAGCTTCGAGGAAACGTTAAATGTTACAGAGAAGAAGAGGGCAGTTTGCCTTGCCAAGGTACTAAACTAAGTCATGAAGTAACTAACGAATGAGGCAGATTGATAAGTTGTTTTTGGAGGAGAAAGCTGAATATTGAA